TAAGACCGTACATTCTACTTGATGGTATGCTTCATTGACACGTTTCTGAGCTTCAGGACTTTGCATCTTAGGGTAACTTTTCGTTGATTTCAATCTTTTGGGGAACGTTCCATTCTCGGCATGTTTTTTATATTCCTTCAACACATTTTCCTGATACTTTACGCGAGCATGAACAGCATGCATTTTTTGTCGATACGATTTTAGAACCGTGGAAAGATCCTGAGTACTCGCCATCGTCCGCACTCTGCGTGAGCAGGTAAGAAATGAGTGTGGAAGTAGTCAGTTCGAGTTTTATCATATTGTATACATCCTTCTCCGTTATGTCTAACAAACTTTAAAAGAACGCGCACTTTAAAATATTAATTATAATAATTCGAAGTGGGCGCTCATATAGAACCAAATGTTTATTTTTCTTTTATACGAAACGGGACTGTCCATCTCGTTCATGTGGGATCGTATATTTTCTATTCTCCTTCCTCCTCCTTCTCTTTCCTCCTCCTCTTTCCTCCTCTTCCTCTTTCCTCCTCCCCATACCTCCTCCTCCTCATTCCTCCTCCTCCTCATTCCTCCTTCTCATTGCTCCTCCTCCTCATTCCTCCTCCTCATCCTCATTCCTCCTCCTCATTCCTCCTCATTCCTCCTCCTCATTCCTCCTCCTCATGCCTCCTCCTCAATCCTCCTCCTCCTCCTCTTTCCTCCTCCTCTTTCCTCCTCCTCTTTCCTCCTCTTTGCTCATTCCTCCTCCTCATTCCTCCTCTTTCCTCATCTCTCTCCTCCTCTTCCTCTTTCCTCCTCCTCATACCTCCTCCTCCTCATTCCTCCTCCTCCTCATTCCTCCTCCTCCTCATTCCTCCTCCTCCTCCTCATTCCTCCTCCTCCTCCTCCTCATTCCTCCTCCTCTTTCTTGAAGTATTATAATTTCTTATTCACATGGACTCACTCGTTCTAGTCATTTTATTCCTCAACTTTACTCAGTTCTTGGGACTCATATACACTCGCGGTAAGACATTACCACTAACAGATGTGACAGTTTATTACAGTGGTCATTCTATGTACACTCTTTCCTTCTCTTCCTATTTCCTGCTCCTACGCGCGCGTCCGGAATGCGGTCGCGTAGCGACCGCGGTAATGTTTCCACGTTTTAATCATGTTTTGTCACATGTAAAGCAAGTCCATATCATATGAGCTAAATAAGTCTTTGGATTATGCTCCTTATAACTCTATTATCGATTATGCTCCTTATAACTCTGAAAGAAAAGCTTTGCTTCATTTGTTATAGTATAAAAACAAAACACAACCAGCATATATTCTAAAGTGGATTTTCGGCTATTATTTGCAAACATACAACCATGTGATACGTTCGAATGAAGCGGAAGATAAAAAAAAAACATTTCATAAAAATAACGGACATTTGGTCGCTTCGACGAGGCATTTCAATGTCACATTTTTGCAATTGTCAAATGTGTATTTCCTCAATTTTAATCGTGATTTGTATTTTCTGACTGGAGAAAAATTTCTGGAAATTTTTCCCGCATGAAGTTTGCTTTTGGAGGCAAACACTGCGTGCGAATCGACCATAACAGAAACTTTGTGACAGCTGATCAGACAACCTCATTGCAGTGAAAAGGTATTGAGCAAATAATTTACGATATATACTTCGTACTGAATACCCTTTATTAAAGACCTTGACAGATTCTGTACAAAAACAACAAAAGCTGGCGCAAGGTGCCCGACTGCGCTGACGTTTAATAATTTATTATGTAAGACTACACGTAAATGTCTCCAGAACCGGGCTCCTCTGTAGGTGGAGGACGGATACACCTGAAACGGCTGCGGTGATGAGGATGCCTTTCGTCTGCAGGGGTGGGACGAAGGACACGTTTACAGACCAGTCCATCGCGACAACCGTGGTGACAGAGATACTAATTAAAAATAGAAAATACAATGTCCCAACAAGTTGTAAACAATGAAACAGGAAGTTATTGATGTATGGTTGATCGCTGTTGACAATTCCATGTTTCATTTGTTTTGGCGAACTCTCGTAACAGAGATCTCAAAGGCTAATATTAAATTCGACTATGTAACCATTCAAAGCCACCCGCGGCGTGTACACTGGCGTAATAAATTGTTTCGTTCCTCTCTCTCAGACCCTCTATCTTTCATCATATGTTCGTTTGTTTCTTTCATTGAAATGATCAGTAATTTGCAGGCAAAAGACAGGAGGGCACTGATATGAGACGGGGAAGGCAAGAAAGTTATAGTACAACTCTAAGGTTAAGATAAGTGTAGCTACTCTTTTGACCGTCGTGCGCATCAAAGTTCAAATTCACATTTAAAGAAAACCAGTACCGGTTAAACTGAAAATTGCCCCCGGGAGCAGAAGCGAGATACAACTCGGGTAGGTCGACGCAGTTTCCTTAATCGTACCCACTTAGTAGTGGGAATAATTATTTTTGTTTTTCAACTCGTGAGGATAGTAGAGGGAATATAAAACAGAAGCACGGATACGTGGACTCACAGCAGGCGGGTTCTTGCAACAAGGCTGTCCCAGTCCTCTCTGTTGAAAGCATTCACACCAATACAAGACTATCCTGCAGAATTCTCCAACTTTACACTTCTTCTTGCACTGTAATACAGAGCATTACTTCGTTAGTGAAAATTCTGGGAGATTTCAGCTTACAGCAGAGGATCTTCCGACACCCTTCTCTTTCATTTTAGAAATCTTTATTTAAAGAAACGTTTTCGGTTTTCCTCACATAGGGCTCAGGTGTACATTTGAGTTTCTTTATTTTACCTCGACGAAATGACTTTTCGACCTTTACTACATTATCGTGGTCAAAACCCTGTTTAAGACAATGATTAAAAAACGATCAAAGAATACCTTGCGTATGCGATGGTCATTTTCTTCTCCAAAAAATTCTGCAACCAAAGCGACCACCAGACAAAAAGCAAATAACATTGCTGGCTTCATTTTGTTTTTAAAAACTGCAAGATACGTCGCTGATGTTTTTGTCGAGGATAGCACATTTGTGATACGCAGGTATCAGCCTTAAGTAACCTTAATTTTAAACTGGGACTATCCCTACTAAATATGATATAAAAGAAAAATGGTGTTCAAAAAGTATTAGAGGCAAGGAGATATGTGCGACAAAAACAAGAACATGATTAAACTGAGAGATTTGTTTTCTACCTCAATTTTTTTTTAAAAGATTTAGTATAGCTTGTCTCATTAGGCACGTAACAAATCTCGTGTATTTTTGCGATTGGTGCATTAAAAGTGATAACCTACTTTGCGCAAACGGTGACGAGCATCATTTTCCTCTGCGTCTTCTAAATATTCATCCTCTACAAAACTGGGTTTAGCTGCAACGAGGACGAAAGCAAGGCAAAGCACTAATAACAACAACAACCTCATGTTGTCGGTGATGCGAGGATTACAATTACCCTTAAACTAAGCTGAGCCTTTTATTTCTTCGGTCAAAGCTGTTTCGTCACAAATGCGAATGCAAAGAAAACAAACGTCTTGGCTCGCAAAGAGAGAGCAAGATATTATAACAGTGGGGTGTCAAACTTGTTCAAACAGTATCAAATATCAATTTAATCTAATTGGAGTTAAGCAAAACGGAATCCTTAAAAAAGGTAATATACAAGACGAGTACAGCCATTTTAAGCTGTGCAATGCGTTGCATTAGGTTTAGAATTTGAGATTGTAGTCCAGCATATATTTTTATACAGATAAGGAAAGCAAGAGAATTGCGGATATCTGAGGAACCACAATCAGGTCGGCAAATAAAGGTGACAGACCTAGAGGGAAAACAATGGATGCGAAAATTCAAGGAAACAGCGTGCTTCCAGGTAAATGTTTGGTAATGACATATAGAAGAGTTGTCAATCGACCTCTATGTTAATAGCCACAAAATTTTATCCTTGACAGGAAGTGTATGACTGGTTGGGAAGTTCCAAAACAATTCCATTGTATTTCAACCTTCAAAGGGGCAACAATGTCCTTAAGCACTGTGACCAGCTGCAGGGTGATGAGGTTCTTCACATTTGTGAATGGGTTAGTGTTCTGTAGGAGCCAAGGCTACATCAATTAAAGTGCAATGAAAAATCAGAAATCACAGTCTGTATAAGAAAATAAATTCCTTGGAAAATAATCTTAGAATGACACATTTGAGGATATTTCTGTCAAAATAATATGGAAAATTTAAAGATATACAAGGCTAAAATTTATGGCAAGTAAGGTTTTCAGTTTTATTAAATAATATTTTTTATGCTCCAATCAAGGAAAACAAAAAAAGAGAAGAAAAGGAATCAAGTGATAAGGTATGGAAGAAATGGTGAACATTGCGTGGCACAGCCATTTTCCTATTGTATATAGTTACTGAAGGCCGGAGCCAAGATGCTGAAAGCCACATTAGCACTAATCACCGTTAACTACCATGGCAATGCCGTGGTTTTGGTCCCAGCCCAGTGGACCAAAGGTTAGCGATAATCAAGCATCAAACAACACGGCCTGCTAAGGTCTTCTGTTTCCGTCCAAAATGGTAAGGGAGAATCTTAGGCTCTACTTTCTCTGAGACAAAAGTTTATTAGGGAAACAACATTTAAGCACACTTCGGTTCCTAATTGAGCCAGGTCCTTTGTGTCCATGCTCTTCGTGAGCGAGGATCTTTGCCTCCAGGTTCTTCGGCACATGACATTTTAGCACATGTCGGTTCCTAATTGAGCCAGGTCCTCTGTGTCCATGTTCTTCGTGAGCGAGGATCTTTGCCTCCAGGTTCTTAGGCACATAACATTTTAGCACATGTCGGTTCCTAATTGAGCCAGGTCCTCTGTGTCCATGCTCTTCGTGAGCGAGGATCTTTGCCTCCAGGTTCTTAGGCACATAACATTTTAGCACATGTCGGTTCCTAATTGAGCCAGGTCCTCTGTGTCCATGTTCTTCGTGAGCGAGGATCTTTGCCTCCAGGTTCTTAGGCACATAACATTTTAGCACATGTCGGTTCCTAATTGAGCCAGGTCCTCTGTGTCCATGCTCTTTGTGAGCGAGGATCTTTGCCTCCAGGTTCTTAGGCACATAATAACTCAGCACACATATCGGCATACATATTGGCATACATATTATTAACATACATTTTAGCATACACATTCACATACATCTTAGCATACAAAGCAAGACCATTGCTACATTGCTTGGGCTTTAGAAATAAACAAGAAAGTAAATCACTTTTCATATACTGACTCATGGGTTAAGAAAATATATTTTTAAGAAAGAAACTCTTGAGTAAAGCTGCTATTCAAGGATAATTGAATGAACCCTTGAAGCAACTAAACTTCACTTAACAAAACATCAGTTATATTTGGTTCAATTTTCTCAAAATGCATTAGTCTAGTATGAGATAAATTCGAAAGTTCATGGCTAAGGCATTGGTCGGCAAAATAAAGGGACGTATGCAACCCAGGCAACCTGTCGCTTGGGTGGCATACCTCCCGTCTCCTTTCTTCATTTCCTGCAGGTTAGCTTTAGAGGGAATAAGCCAGAATTGGTAGAAGATCTCTCCAAAACTATTGAAGGTATGTAGAGAAACTTCTCTTCTGTCAATTTATTAAGGATTGCCAGCCTAATCCAACTGCCCTGATTCATAGCAATTCCTGAAGGCCTAATCTATGAACCAGCCATCGACATTAAAAATCCTGCCAAAATGTACCATAAAGCTACTTTTGCAAAGGCTGCATTTTGAGCTAAATTTTAAAAATCATTAGTATTACAATAATGATAATAATTTTAGTTATTATTTTTTCATCCCGTTTGACATGCTTAAGAAACTACATCTTCTTTACTTCCAGATTTCACAAGCAATGAATTGGATGGAGACCACCCAAAAAAAAGGAAAAGAAAGTACAATAGAAACAGAAAAGAGAGAAGACCGTCAAAAAAGAAAGAAAGAACATGAATAATAGAAATTAATATGAAACGTATCGTAATTAAACTTGAATTCTATAATGTCTGCGTTTCAACCTGTTATAGTTAAAAAAGTTATTAAAAACATGGATTCACATTAATGTCTTTCTCCAGTTTAAGGAGGCTCGCAAGGGTTTTCAACAATTAACAGCAAGCGCCAATCAGTAAAAGATATCAGGACTGTCAAACTTATCACCAGGATAATAACTCGACATATGCATAACACTATGTTAGGGCAATCTTTTAAGGGGGTTCGTCAGGCATTATCTGTTGCCATGGCAACAGTACAGTAGTGCTAAAAGACCCTCTAAAACTCAGTTTTTGAAAGATATCTCAAAAACCAAGTCGGTGACCTAGTTTTTTTTTTCAAATTTCTTAAACGTCATCACATTCTCTACCTGTATACGTGATATAAAAAAAAACTACCNGCATCCGAGGTAATATTGTTTACAATAATATTGGCTTCAAATATTCTAAAAGAAAGCGTTCATAAGTATCAGGAATTGAGAACTTCAGTGACGTTTTATGACTACCGTCTACTTAACTCAGATACAAGCAGCTCTCCTAAAATCGTTTCCAATATTCCCATAGAAAGCGTGGCAAATATTTGAAAGGGTTTACAGTATCAGGAATGAAATGGAGAACTTCAGCGACATTATATGATTGCCGTGTAATTGGGTCAGCCATACGAAGCTCGCGTAACATTAGCCATTCTGAAGTTACAATTTCTTCCATGAAAAACATTAGCATGAAAACCTTTCAAGCTAATTCCAATGTAAACACTATTTTAAGAATGGGATGAGTAACGTTACCGTCTCCACCTGAGATATTCCCATGTCTGAGTTAGCCACAAGAAAGGCCACTTTTAATGAACCTATACCTTTCAGTCAACCTATACAGCAGTCTAAGTATATAAAGACTAGGGTGGCGTCAACTGAAAACTAAGGAATTCTCCTTAAGGTGATAAAAATACATCACTTCTCTTTGCGGTGTGTCGAAATTATAACTTGACCGTGATGCAGGGTACCCAAGGGATCTCGGTCCTTGTAGGTGAGGCGCCAATTTGCGCTCGGGCTGAGAAACCGAGTTCGAATGGGGAACACGGGTCGATCGGCTGAGATTCCCTAGTCGTACGCAGAACGAATCAATCGTATTCGATGAGCTGGTACTCGAATCGCTATTCGAGTACGGTTAACATGAACTGAGCTCGGTTGCGCAGATACCAAATGTGATCCTTAGATCGTTAGTGTTGGAGGGAGGTGGAGTCAACAAAACTAATTTTTCCCTAAGTCAGTTTTCTTCAGATCCAATATTTGCCTTGTATCTAATCTTTAAAGGCAGAATCATGTGGTTCCTTCACTAATGTATGATTTTGTATATTAATTACCATCTACACTGTTCCAGTATACGAGAACAAAATTGAAATTTTCCGTTTATCCGGTCGACTGTTTGGTGTAAGTACAGAAGTCGTACTCCAAGATAGCCTCAAGTCTTTTTTAAGGACGAGGAGAAATGACACAAGAAAATGCTCACTTACATTTGTTTTTCATTTGTTTTTTTCGTTAAGTGTGTGGTGTTTTAAATGAAGAGGAGATACACAATTCATTTTTTCATTGCTATTTATTCAATACTGGATAATTTATAAATCATTTGAACAGCCACAATCCTGTGTTTATTCTATACGGTAATTTACATTTTTACATGCATTATCAGGATCGGAGCCTACCCCCCTGGTTGAGCACATTTGTAGACATCGAACTGACCAATTCCAAAATTCCTTTTACACTCTAATCCTTTCTGGCATTTCCAAAAGCAGTTCTGTTTAGGGTAAAACACAATACGTTAAATAGTATATTTTAGCTGTGTCATTCAAAACTTCCTCAGGCATATGGCATAAGTTCTGGTTTTATTACTGCTAACTGGTTTATGATGATTATTTGAACCTATTAGCACTGACAGGATAAGAAAATATGTTTTGCGAAGGTAGTATAGTTATATACGTATCTTCTAGAGTGCATTTCGATGTAGTGTCGTAAAAGTGCTATAAGTGGAGTGTTACCAGCAGTCTGTTACTAGTTACACTGTGGTGGCGCGAAATTCAAGAACTGATGAACTTCAAACTCATTTATTGTTAAACTATTTAGGCTTGCAGAAGTCGAGTTCTACTTACAGAGGATAGTTGACAAATTCTGCCCACTCCTTTTCTTGCCAAGCATTTGGTGTAACCGAATTTTTGGAAACAGCACTGACCAGCTGAACAGTCTGCATCAGTTGAACAATAAAAATGAAAAAAAAGTCAAGGGCTTTATTAGGCTTGATAAAATTAGGACTCAGCACAGTACTTAGAAATACCGAGACATGTTTTGGCAGTGGGAGGAAAAAAGCTGAGTGTGAGTTGTCGCACTTTCGTGGTGTTCTGTTTTTCGACAAGAATCAGCAGAAACAACACGCAGACTTTCGTTAGAGAGAGAATTAAGTAAATACTTGAAATGAGACCCATCGAGAAAATTGAGCGTGTTATTTCATTCCAGCTATTAGAAGTAATATTTTGTCTTCATTTAAGAGCTCCCTTAATTTTTCGTTGTTTCATTTTGACAGTAGTATCTCGTGTCTTAACAGCAACAACAACGGCAAAAAAAATACCAAAAAGCAGTTTTGCTAGATTCACAAAGGTGATTCTGAATCCGACGAAGGGCTAACGCTCGAAACGTCAGCTTTTGTACTCGTTACGGTGGCCAATTTACCATTTCAACTTTGTTGATGTATCCAAATTATACTAAAAAAAACCTGGCTGGAGTTTTCCTAATTTATATCTCTGTGTGATATGATATAAAATTGCCTTCATTTCAAAAGACTTAAGCGAATTATTTAAAGCTAATTAATTATTTGATAATTGGACTTGCTTGGTTGAACGCTACTGACGGAAAAAGCTTACCCTCTTTTTCAAAAGAAAGCGTTTGTCTGTTTGAAATTCGTCCTCCATTAAGTCTTCTTCTTCATAGGAACTGACTACGAAGGCGAACGCCAGACAAAAAGCAAGAGACAAAGCGAGCTTCATGTTGGTTTTAGCGCTACAGGAATCACTGTGGTTGAAGAGATTGTGCGAAGTCCTTTCTTATATAGACCTGAACTATTTCACAGCTGATCAACTAGAAATCGAAAAATCTTAACTGCAAAATGAAGTGGCTCAGTATCACCGATGAGTAAAAACGATGTATTTTGCTATTAATTTTGGAGTGCTGACCTTCTTTTTATTCAAGAGGCCCAGTCAAAGGAATAGTTTTATGAAAAAGCAAATATGACAGGCGCGTTCTTCAATTAACTTTTATTTGATCAAGAGGAAAACGATAAGGGCCGGGAAGCAGAAAACATTTTGTAGCAACAGATCATTTCAGAATTCACAGTCAAGATGTAAGATGTTTCAATCATATCATAACCGCCTCCCGGTTAGCTCAATGGATAGAGCGCTGGACTGTTGTGCGGGAGGTTGAGGGTTCGAGCCCGGCCGGACCAACACTCAGGGTCTTAAAATGATTGAGAAGAATTTGCTACCTTTCTATAACATCAAGAAATGGTTATATATTCTAGTCTTCTCGGATAGAGACGAATAAATGGAGGTCCCGCCTCCTGCAGGGTTGGGGTAGGAGACGTTAATTTCAGATACTCGAGATTACTGTGTGAGGGATGTCCTCCCCTGGTATGGGATGGGTGGGAGGGTGGACTAGCACGATAACTAGTTCCTAAGTTCCTTTCTAGTGCGAACCCACTGCAAAACTTAATGCAGTGAAAATGGACTAAATTAAATTAAATTAAATATCATAATACGTAGCGAAAATATTTGTTGGAATTATCACAGAAGACTTGTCTGTCTTATCCTTTCTTTACAGACGACTGAATGGCTGAATATATCTTGCCATCTAAAGCACTTCACCCAGTTGAGTTAATTTACTCATATTAATATTCCCCGTATATCAAAATTGGAAGCTAAAAGTATCAAAAACAGGATTTTGTGCAGTAACAAAACTGAGGTATCGCGAAGAAAGAAGAAAACACCTTCTAGCCTGAAAGTTCAAGATATAGCCCATCATAATCATTTATTTGTTGTCCACTACCCTCTCTCTTTAGGCACTAAAGTACATGCACTGAAAACAAAGATTAGGGTTTAGGGTTAGGGTTAGGGTTAGGGTTAGGATTAGCGTTGGGTTTGAGGATTAGGGCCAAGGTTGCATGAAACAAACGATGCTTTAAAGCAAGAGTCCAAAATCTGGAAAAGGGGATTCATGTCCGTTAGCAGATTTTGACCGGGGTGGTCGTGATCCGGTACCGGATTTGGACCGCGGAGTCCAAATCCGATAGGGGTCGTAACGTGTTGTGACACTGGCGCAGTGCTCATTTCATTCGGAGTGGCACGCTGAGTGCGACAAGAGATTGTTTTTACTAAGTTAGAAGTAGCTGTACGGAAAACATCCCCAATTCTGGTTAAAATTCCACTGTTGGAGGCAACTTCGCGGCTTGTTTGGGATTCTTCAACAACAAGTCCAGCTTCTTTATTCTGCATGATGGCGCCTCGACACATTGGGCATGTGTCACTGAAATCGAGTGACATGTCACATTAGTCATCCAATCATTTTACTCCTTATCTTAGGTCAAGAGAATTCGCAAAAAAATCACAGCGCGTAATGCTCGCCCGCGTTTCATGTAAATTAATAATCTTACTCAGAAGATGAGAAAACACGAGTTCGTTAAATTGGATCATATTAACTTCCTCTCATCAAATTCTATGTGTACGTCATATTGAACGTAATTGCTTTCTTGTTTATCAGTTGTTTTCTACAAGATTGTCAGATAACAATCATCTACAGAACTTTTCTTTCTTTTGCCAAAGATAAAGCTGATTTGGATTGAATGTCGCGATATTTTTTACGATGAATTCGCAATTATTGAACGAGAGAGTACGATGGAAGATTAGCATAAAGATCCAAATATGTTTTAATGCTATTCATTTAGAAAGCATTTGATATAAGAGGCAAATTTAAGTTAGCAGGGTTGAGAATATCATGATGCCTACGGATTATTTCGCCCGGGAAAAAACCCTCTTTTCCTACCTTCCTGAGAGAATAAGCTTTACACCACAATCCTCATGAATCATATGAAAACAAGGGAGAATAACAGCTCCTGAGAAAACTTCCTGGGAGGATCAAAACAAAACTCAAGTTCAAATTGAAAAAAAAAAAAATTCATAATTATTAGAGTGGGCAAGTGACAATTGAAATTTCTCATTGGATTTAGTTAGATTATTTACTTGCTAAATATAATTGCCGTGCTTCTGCTCAGTAATATATCACAGATGATAACAAATGTGGTTGAAGATAACTCTGATATATCCCTGAACCGACTCACGGCAACATAGTATATATTTGTTTAATGTAAAAAAGAAGCAAACAGTTGTACTTGGTGACACAATTTATGCGTTAGTCAGTGTCCATTAATACATCCTACATTAGGTAAAAAGCAATGAAATGCGTTTACAAGTCAGACCATTCGTTAAAAATATATCTGCACATGATAGTTATCATGAAAAGGAAGCCTCTCTGAATGCAATAGATTTTGAATACCTGAATTCTACCTAAAGTATTATCCTTGGAGTCAAAATGAAAATTAAAGAAAATTCGTCACAACCTATCAATCAATCACTCAAACTATGTTCCAAGTTTTGAAAATTAGGGATTGTATTAAAAGGAATATCACCTACCTCCAGGCATATTGCACAAGGATCGTGACCTCTATTGTCAAAACACTTATGATCTCTCAGAGAAAGGGGCATACAAACATTACACGTTCTACAATGGAAGTTTTCCCCCTTGTTTAACCTTCAAAGAATAGAAACAGAATATGACAAATTCAAAGGATGCACCATCCTTGAATAACAACTTAAGTGGTAAGGCGTCATTACAAATACTGAGATATTCTATCAGTGGTGGAAGAGGAGTATAGAGAAGATGAGAAGAAAAAGAAAACTTCATTGTGATATCTGTGATGATGATGATAATGATAATGATGATAACTATGACGATGATGATGACAATGACGATGATAGAGGGTGGTAGCATAATTGTTATGATGATGATGGTATTGGTGAAAACTAATCAGATGAAGAAGGTTGAAAATGAAGACCAAGAGGAAGGAAGGAGAGAAGAAGACGTAAAGAGGATCGAAAAGAAGGCCAAGTGCAAATAATAACAACAAAAACAACGAAAAAAAGACTTACAATAAACAAGATATTAAGGACAAGGAAAAAGGAATGTAAGAACATAAGATGAAGAGAGAATACAGGGAAGGGATATAGACAACGTAGGAAGAGAGGAAGAGGGGTAGAATAATGTTACAACGGAGATGGATACTTATGTACGTTTTGTTGAATATTAAGAAACCCTCCGATGGTTTCAAAAAAAGGTTCGATTGAGCGGATTAAACCACACACAATAAACACATGGTGTCTAACATGGCGGACCCCCACAAAAACAGGGAGCCTCGATTTAATGCCCAAACATACAAACCGCTGACAATACATAACACTTCCTCCCCCTTTTTGAAAACGTGTCCAAAAAAAAAGAAAGAAACACCAAATGATACAGGGGTATAATAAACTTCAACTTTCAAATATCAACAAAATCTCAACTGAGAGTAGATAGCATTCTTAGCCTTAAATGTTCTTAAAGTCACAAGTTGAGCCTATCTGGGGCTTTTCTCTCGGGCTGGGTATCTACGCTCAGCTTTCACGGGTGCCTTCCTTGGACTAGTCTCGCTTTGGCGTTTTACTGGTGATGGTAGTTTTAACTCTGGAACTGCAACAGAAATCCGCTCTGGAGACATAAGAATTGGCTCTTGAGTTGCTGGAGGGTCTGGAGTTGAAGACTAAAGAATTGGTTCAGCCACAAGTTTCTGATTCTCAGCGGGTTGGTCTTAAGTTTCCTTTGAAACACTACCATATGGTGACGGTAGCGTACTCGATCCTGACACTGTTGGTGCTGTACTCGATCCTGACAATGGAACTGATGACTCCTCAGGACTCTCTTCCTCAAAAGCCTCTTCACAATTTACACGCTCCGTCTCCAGGAGATGATCAATGTGAACATAACGCAGTTGGCGACCAACTCTCACCAGGTAGGTGAACAGTCCCAACCGTCTTATCACTCTACATGGAATCCACTTCTCCATTCCTCCCTGAGTCACGTGGTGACAGTTCACGCAATTTGACATGTCTCTTATTGTGCTGCCGCTGTTATCTGCCTTGCTGGTTCAGCAATTGCTCTTCCGTGTTTGGTAAGAGAATACTAAACTCGGTGCGAGGTTTGCCTTTCAAGAACAATTCGGATGGTTTTACTCCTGTCACTCAATGAGGAGTGTTTCTGTACTGAAACAGCAGTTAGCTAGTTGGTTTTTCAGTGATCGTTCCTTACCACTTCTTTTCACACTTTCAGCATGTTTGCGCAACGCTCTTTTTAAGATCTGTACTTTGCGCTCTGCCGCCCCATTGGTCGACGGATAGTAGGGAGGTACCAGTATTTGTTTAACTCCATTCCGTTTAAGGAAATCTGTGAATTCCTGGGAAATGAGTAGAGGTCCGTTATCTGAGATAACCTCTTCTGGCAATCCACATGCCGCAAACCATAGTTTCATTTGGTCAATAGTGCTTTGGGCAGTAGTAGATCTCATGTGTGCCACCTCTATCCACTTGGAATGGTTGTCAATAAATCCAAGGAAGTAATTATAATCTTTCTCTGCGAAATCAATATGTACTCTTTGCCACACCCGAGTAGGCCATCTCCATGGGCACAATGGTATACTAGGGGGTGAGTTCCGCACTGCTTGACAAACTTCGCAAGTTTTCCCAGTCAACTCAATTTCCACATTCAAATTTGGCCACCAAATGTAACTTTGGGCTATTGCTTTCATTATAACAATACCAGGATGTTCTTCGTGTAATTCCTGCAACAGTCAGTTTCTAAGCGATGACGAATGACAACACGCATTCCCCATAAGAAACATCCTTGGTCAACTGATAACTCGTGTCTTCGCATGAAGTATGGTTTCAGTTCGTCAATGATTACATAATTTGGCCAACATATGGAACCAATACGCGACCGGCCATAAGCTCAGATTGACTTCACTGGAAAGCTTCTTCACACTCTTTGGACCACTCCCATTTCACATCTTTTTGAAGCAGTTCATGTAATGGTTGAAGCAAGGTGGAAAGATTAGGAATGGAGTGTCCATAGTAGTTTAGCAGCCCTAAGTAAGAACGGAGTTCTGCTACGTTCTGTGGAGTCGGTGCTTCGCCAATAGCTATAATTTTCTCGTCTGTGGGATGTCGGCTTTCTCCGTCTACACGGTAACCTTGGAACTTTATACTTGGTACCATGAACTCACACTTAGACTTCTTAGATAATATGCCATGCCTCTCCAGCCGGGTCAACACCTCATCTAGTACTTGCAAGTGTTCATGGAGATCTGTTCTGATTATGATGTCATCGATACAACAACGCACAGTATTCATTCCCTGTAATATTTGATCCATAGTCGACTGAAAGAGTACAGGGACAGAGGTGATACCATAGGTTAGGCGTTGATATGCATACATTCCTTCGTGAATGTTCACAGTCAGGTATTGTTGGCTATTCGTGCTCAGTTCCATTTGCTGATAGGCATTTGACAAATCGATCTTGCTGAACACCGTTCCACTTCCCAATGTGGCAAATATATTTTCAGTGTCTGGCAGTGGGTAAGGGATGTCTAGAAGTACCTGATTCACTGACACCTTGAAATCACCACAGATGCGTATACTTTCATCTTTTTTAGGCACAGAAAATAGGAGAAGCCAGTCACTCCGTTCCACCTTCTTTACGACTCCTAAGTTCTCCAAACGGTCCAATTCTTCTTCCACCTTTGTGCGTAATGCATAAGGAACCGGACGAACTTTGCAAAATATCGGTTTCGCACCAGCTTGCAACTTTATATCTGTCGTAAAACCTTTGATGGTTTCCTTATCGAACCCCTTTTATGACGATCCAGGACAGCAGAAAAGGTGTCCACCTTACTCACATGAAAGATGTTACGCCAATTTAACTTCAGTTACTCCAACCAGTTTCTGCCTAATAGTGGAGGGCCGTCTCCGTCTACAACAATCAAAGGTAGTACCAATTCCTGTTGTTCATAGACCACAGGCAAATGAACTTCACCATAGACCGGAATTCGGACACCATTGTAAACCTTCAACTTGATCTTGGTACCACGTAAGGGCCACTGGTTAAACTGCTGGTCATACAGGACCTTAGGAAGAATAGACACTGTGGCTCCGGTATCCAATTGCATTTTACAACTCTTTTGATCCAACCTAACCGACACATAAATCAGGGTATGTCCATCTTTGCCAGACCTTCTCGCTGCAAAAATGCCTAGAACTTCATCATCCTCCATGTTTGCCATGTCCTCCTCGACCACTTCTGGCAGATACTGTCACTCCAAGCTCTATCTCTCTACCACTTGACTTATTCCCATATGCTGAATCATTCCTTAGTTTCGTCTTGCATACACTTGCATAATGACTCACTTTCTTACACCTCGTACATACACTTTGGCGAGCTGGGCAACTCTTATCCTTGCTAAAATGTCCCTCTTGACCACACCGGTAGCATCGGCCTCGCCTTTTTTTCCTTTTTGTTGCTTGGGGTGCTCTGAATCAGACATTGAGACAATTTTATTCACTCCCAAAGACTCTTCTGTTGAAGATACATAATCGTGAGCTCCCATTTTCTTAGCCTGAAGGTCAACTGCTTCCATCGATTGAGCTACCTCTTGTACTTTCTGAAGCGTGAGCAGCTCCTTTGCCAGTAGTTTTCTTCTTAACTCAGATGATCGACATTTATCGATAACTTGATCTCTGATGTCAACATCTGGGTTTACAAAATTACAATTCTGCGCTTGCCCTCTAAGCCTAGCTATGAATTGACTGACTGTTTCTCTCTGCTGTTGAGCCATGCTTCTGAATACATGTCGCTCATACGATTCGTTAAGCTTGGTGACAAAATACGTGTTCAGAGTGCGTAGTGTTTTCTCGAAATCATTAGCCGGATCCTCTTCGAATTCTACCTCCGGGCCTGGGTCAGTTAGCATTTCATACAACTCCTGAATCTCTATTCCCGCGGTATGAAGTAGCAAAGCCTTCTTTTGTGCATCGTTCACCACTCCTGTGGCCACAAGAAAGTATTGAAACGATTGAAGCCATTTCTTCCAACGTGGTCCTAGTGCAGACGATTACCTTTGCAATCGAACGGAGCTGTACCTTGAATTTTGATATTACACGCCGCCATTCTTTGTTAGTTAGTCAATCCCATCCTCGTTGCCAGTGTTGAATATTAATAAACCCTCCGATGGTTTCAAAAAGGGGTTCGATTGAGCGGATTAAACCACACAATAAACACATGTAGTCTAACATGGTGGACCCCACAAGAACAGGGAGTGTCGATTTAATGCCCAAACATTCAAACCGCTGACAATACATAACACGTATTGTTGCTCGTCACGCGTCACGCATGTTACCCGTCAGTCTTGGCAGGCTTGTTTTGACCTTCTGTTTCCAGTTCGCCATTAAACTACACTTGCTTTTATTCTCGTTGTCTGCTGTCTCTGTTAACGGCTTATTACAGTATCATTGCAGATAACAATCTGATGATGGCTGGGAAAATATGTCAAAAGGGACTTGGTTAATTTTTTTTACCTGCATACCCCGCACAGTCCACAGTGGTAAGGTTGCAGGCTAGCACTTCCTCCACTTTCAATCAAAAGTTTACATTCTGGACAGAAATAGCTGGCAAATGTTTTCCCACATGACTCCTTTTCACACTTCTGACAAAACTGTCAAAAAAATTATGTTGGTATCAATACCTCAAAAACAGCAAAAAACCAAGAACAACAAAAAAATGTTCCACAATGTCAAAGTCAAAATCCAGTAAACTTGATGGCATGGAAATAAGAGGAGTTCTATCTACCTCAAAAATTGTGCACGAAAATCAATTAAAAGGGCTATCTATCTCTCTAACAAATAAGGATAAATTTGGTGGACTACAGAAATCACCTTTGACTGTATGTGGTTGCATGCTATACACTTTAGGCGACTTCCATCTTGTGCTTTAACCAGTGCATGCTCCCTTTTAGTAGCCAGTGAGAGATGGAAATTATTTTCATCATTTCCCTGCATGATATTTTTTCTCACGCCAATCTCTTCATTGTTCTTCAGATGATCTGATGATCCATCAGTAGTATTTGGACTTTCTTCCTTTATGTCACTAGCCAATGCATCATCTGTTATACCTAAATATTTTACCATATGATTGTTTAAAGATAGACAGTCTATACTGAGGACGAAACCATAACTTCTACAGAGCATGGTAAACTCACAGATTAATTCAAATGTGCCTGTGGCTTCAATATCAGTTAGTCGCTTTGTTTTGTCTAATTTTCCTTGTTATTTGTTTAATTATTATTTTTTTTTTTGGTTTCTCTGTTTTTTAAATTGTTTTGTGAGTTGAAATAAATGATTATTTGTACTTAAGCCTTACACTCTGGAAGATCCATTCTGAGTAGAAAGAAGCAAATATCGTGCATTCTAAGCCATTAAGAGTCCTCATCAAATTAATGTCCAATAGACTGACATAATGTCATCAACTTTAATCTGTTTCTTTTAAAAAAAGAGAAGCTTAAATGTTGCCATCATATTTTTCCAGGGTGGTTTGTAACTATCTCAAGATTCAAAGTACATCTTAAAATTTCTGTAAAAATAAATATAACTAACATGGATGTATATAGAGATCTTTAAATTACCCTAAAGTTAGAAATCTTATTGCAATCTAAGGCAAAAAGAGGTCACATCGAAATGAAAGGGGCCAACCTCTATTTTACAATAAAATCTAAAGTTATTAACCTTCGAGTTCTCCGGCACCTTCTGCTGCTTGGCCGGAAGACCTTACCGTGGAAATGCTTTCTTCTCTTACCAGGCACCATTCTTCAAAACCATTAAGTTTTGACAAGCTTGTCTCTGTGTTTGAGGAAGTTTCATGTGCATCACTCTGCATGTTACATAAGGAAAAAGAACATGATAATATTCAGAGTATTACTAGGAAACTGATTTTAGTTAACAACTGCATTGACTAAGGTTGAGTGGCCAAACTCAAATTTTAAATGCATTCATTCCCAATGGTGGTGTAAAGGAGGCATAAGAAGTACATTTTGTAAACTGTATTCATTATATAGCCCCATATTAATTTGTATTAATTGTTGGATGTACAAAATAGGATATGTGGAAGTAAAGGGATGAAAGCTTTTTAATATCATGGAGAGAGACCGGTGACGCTAAAAAGTGTTCAAAAATGGGAGTGGAATGGGACTTGATAAATTTGATAAGTTTTGGACTATTTAACCCTGAAAGTAAACTCTCCTTTAAAAATTGGGAGAAGTATGCAAGATACGCTCACATTCTTTTTTTATACTGACATGAAAACAACTACTCCAGGTTACATTAAGCCCTTAGCCATAAAAGATTGGGGAAGGCCCTCCTACCCCAATCCAGAGCACTTATTTTGTTAGTTTATTCAGATCATGTAGATAGGTTTTTACTTAGTAACTTTAAAACTCCTTAATAGCATTCACTTATTTACATAAACCTCTTCTTCTTTTCCACAAAGAGTAGTATTTTCTCTTTGATTGTTTTCCTCACTCACTGAATTTTCTACCTCCATTCCTGACAACACCTTGTTGTCTCCATTTCGCAAGCATTCGTAGTCAGTAGCTGTTTTGTTGTTTTCGCCATTGGGTGCATCTGAATTTTTAGCTCTTGATTCCATTTTGGCATCATCAAATGCAACAGTACGTGGGGAAGCTATGGTCGACAAAACGCCGAAGTCAGATATTAGATAGTTTATTGGAAAAGAGAGAATAAGGTTCAAAACTGGAAGATAGTGGTTTAGTAAACTTCTACCTTCGAGCTCATGGCTAATTCCAGTGGGATTTGAACTACCCTCTCCCAAATCGCCTCCATCCTCTGCTATATCACTCTCCACGAAATTATCTTCTGAATTATCCACTGATGGTTTGTCATTCTCTTGCCTTTCCAAGGAGTCATTGTGGCATTTGTGGCAAGGATACCACTCATCGCAGCATGTGAAGTGAATCACACAAGTGTTCCGCTGGAAATGTGGACAATTAAAGGACTCCCTGAAAACCCAAGGGAATTATCAAAGATAGCATTAAGAATGGAGGAAATATTGTTGGGGAGCGTTTGTCAAAGAAAATAGACTACCTAATGCAAGACTCAGGCTCTCCATGTGTTTCCATTATCCACCTCTTTCCTTCTCGATTCTTGCGCCAGATTTGTTACCACTTTAACAGACGAAGAAAGACTGAGGCGATGGCGTTGGAACGACGGTCATTTACAATCAACCGAATTCGGGACTTTTCCCGCATCAAAGGGACTTTCCCCACATCAAAGGGACTTTCCCAAGGGAAATTTCCCAAACGAGTAACTTCCTGTTCTGTGGTCCGACGAAACTGGGCTCATTAATTCATTATGTTTCTGTTTAAGACTCATTTGATTCCCAACTAGTTACTTGTATCTACACTTTTGTTGTATTTTCTTTTGAAGAGGAACAAATTCATTTCTGGTTTTATCTTTTTGGTCTTTCCAAAACAAGAAATGCTGAGATCGTCTTTCAACATGAAAGGGAAAACCCCAACCTATAATCCTTTGTTCTGTTGTTTATGTCGCGCAACATCGTTTCGTTGCAAGTTTTCGGTCGATGTTTCACGTTTTTCACTTTGCGGGATCAACTTATCGCGCAAATACAATATTTGTTGCGGGTTGAAGAAAGCTTTGCGAAAAGAAGAGCGCATGTCTACTTTGAGCAACAAAGTTTGCCTTTGTTAGTCGTCTGTCATCTAATTCACAACTTGCCACGCAACAAATTTGCTCATGTTGCGCGACAAGTTGAGGGTTTTTGTCGACTAAAACCCAGCTAACTTAAGATTATTTAAATTTATCTGCGCTCTATACTGTTTTCTTCTTAAGATGAATAGTGTATTTCTCGTTTTATTTTATCTTGTGTTCGTATCAAAAACTGATTATAAGCATATTTCTCTTTCGATTCCGGCGAAAGTTTAAAGGGAAAAATCCCTTCAGGTATCACCCAATCACGTTAAGGGACAAAACCCGTGGGAAAATCCCACTTCAACCCATATTTAGTGAGCGACGACGTTAGGCTTGAACAAAATTTGCAGGGGCCGACAGTGGACTTCACAGATCTTGAAAAGTGTGATCGTTTGAATGTTAACCCGAAAGGTATTTGTACCAAAAAAATGTATCAGATAATAATTCATAATTTTAGCCGGTTGATTGTTTGTAGCCTTACTAATTTTTTTTTTCAGGATGGGCAATAGTTTCAGCGTGGACAATTTCAGAGATGGCTACACCAAATTGAAAAATTGGCTCGTGAAATGTCTCACGGAAGCAAAAGCTGCCCTCAAACGTATTTTTGAGCGCGCAATCGCTGGAATCCAGTGGTTATGGAAAGGTGTATTGTCCGCCGTGGAATTTTTAGGTTTGCGGAAGAGGAGAGCGGAGGCCGCCTGTGGTGCTGATGGTCAGGAGGTATGTTCTCTTATTTGAGTTCGTTTTTGAAAGAAACATTGCTCGAGGAAAAGTTTACTTCTCTTCCCTGGTATTTGTATGTGCTTGCTGCTAATACGTTTTATTTTCATGTAAGGCCAGACCGTAGATAATAAAGAAGGACCTTTTAGGTGTAGCAGAGCAAGTCAATAATGTAGGATTATACAGCTGCTATTCATACACGAAAGATCGATTGGTTCAGTCATATGGTTACACCAAAATGCATGATCACAGTGTCCCACAGTTAAATATACAAAACAGAATAGTCCTTGTAACGTCCCGGATCTCTTGCACGAAGTCTATTACACGGTAGCATCATATTATTACCTCATATTTCCGGAGATAAACTTTTCAAATATAATTCAATTTCGGTGTCGTTCCGTCATATTATGAAATAGTTTGTAAGGGAAAGATCTGACTTTTGTTTCTTAGGTAAGGGATAATCATTCTGATTTCCAGAAAGAATAATATCTGTTACCTTAGTCCTGTTAAATGAAATTGTACTGGGTGAAGGGAAAGAAACAGGAATCCTGAAAAGGCAACGTGACTGTTATGATGAAAAATGGTAAATAACTATAGAAAATAAATAAATGATGAATAACGCAAACAGGGACAGACCACATTTTCTTCACCATTTTATTTCGCTGTAGTCAAACTCTTCTGAAAGGAGGTTCTGTCTAGATTTGGGGTTTTATCAACTGAGTTGATAATGTAAATTAGCCACCGTAAAGAAAAGTTAACAACTCAGTTGATAAAACCCCAATTACCTTGTTGCTCCCACAGACGAAACACCAGAAATTCTTTAGAAGCTTACACCCTTTATTCTATCTAGATTGTTCGCGCAATATTTTGAAAAGCAAATATCGAAACATCTAAAGACATCTAATAATGTTCCACTCGGTCTATCTGAAGAGTTTCAAAGAGGAAACATTTTTTTACTGAAACGTGTTTCCAGGTGTTGTAGAAAATTGTTTGGTAATCAACCTCAATCAGTCTGTATTCGCCCACAAAGAAATTTTGTCTAAACAAGGAGTAATTTGTAAGAGCACGGTATCCCTTACTAAACACGAGTTCTCAATAACCCCTCGCAAGATTAACGAAGAAAACCCATTTTGTGAATTTTATTTTACAGTTACATTAATCCTAAGGATGCTGTGTCAGTGTTGGCGCAGACTACAGTCACTTTCAAAACATTTGAGAATTAAGAAATCAACGTTTGCTTCGTTCGCTCTGCTGTCTGTTTTGTTTTGCAAGAGACGGAACAGCATATGTAAGCTTTACAGCCTTTTCGCTATTTTTGATAGCGTACTTACAGTTGCTTAACATTTTTCCCTATTCAAGGAAACACTTATTAAGGTCGCAAGATTTCGCCACTGTGCATTTGTATCAATTAACGCATTTCTTATTAATCAGGGCATCAGATTTTAGTCGAAGCGATAACGCAGGAAAATGTCACCGTTACCTTCATTTAAATAAACTGGAGAGATTACTCCAGATTTTACATCCCTTAAATATTGCAATGTAAGTAATGCCACCAATGCAATGAAGTTTTACTACCTGAGTCAGTGATAGTTCTATGATTGAACATGCATTCAACAATTAAACCAAATTCAACTTAATGCAAAAATGACCACAGAAATAAACCATCAATCCAACAACAGGTTCCTGAAGAGACCTCTGAGGAGAGCGAATTACGAGCACCTGTGCAAGAGGAAAGTAAGTCAATGTATTCGAAATTTAATCTACACTACACAACACTACACTTCACTATACTTCACTTCGTACTTTTATAGTCTATTGGGTGTATTAGCTGCGAAGCGTTTCTTTTCAAATTATTTTCTTCAACGCCTAATTTTTGATACTGCTATATTCTGTTGAAATCTGGTGAGGTAAAAGGTAAGTATCCCTTGAAAAAAAGATGAAACCCTTTGAAAGCCTCTTTGTCGATGACTCCAATTGGTACCAGTAGTGAACGCAACCTGAGAGCACATATAAGTCTCATTCGTTCTAACATCCTTACACTTATAACATTAAGAAAAATTGATTGTTTTTAACCAATTTGTCTTATCTGTTCTTTGCTTTACACGAGGCAACCAGGTGACAGCAGAAACTGATCAAGTCTCGGTTAAATCTAACCTTTTGACCGAGGAGGAAGAGGTTAGAGAGGAACAGTGTCTCCTTTTCATGGAGAACGCTGCTGATACTATGAAAAACTACGCCAACAGTTACAGGCAAATGAAAGAAGAACACAGGCAACACGGAAATAATGAAATTTTAGGTAATGAGCTTCGAATGTTCTTCTTTCAGAATCATTTATCAAGTCAAAAAACCTACCATTTCGTAACAATTGAGGAAGGACACTCACGTGAGATATGGTGGCTTTAATTTTTTCACGTATAACTGTTGTGGTTGGAATGTTGTTGGGCTTAAGAGAAGTGCGCTTTACTCTCGAATAAGAGGTCGGATGCGAGTCCTTCACAGTGCCTCTCTCCTACATACGCCAAGAATATAATTGGGTACCTGTAAACTCTCTGGAAACTATAACTGGAGGGGTAATATCCCGTTTAAGAGGAATTGCAACAATCGTATTCGCTTCACTCCAGGTAAGCTCTGGCAGTAACGGTCTGCTAGATGCTTTAGGCTTACCTTTTTAGGTTGCCGGGTGCTTATTGCGTACATCGTATCCGTCATTTAAAAAAGGCCGTCCTCTGGGCGCATATATTCAGAGCCATTCAGAAGGGCTTATATAAAGGGGTTTGATATTCGAGGAATATTTTTGTTTTTAAGGGTCGACCAGGCTTATGATTAGAAAGTAATAAGTATAAAAAGTTTGTGAATTTAAACGTGACAATACTCGGGCGTTAACTTCAGACACTACGGCAAACATTCAACATTGTGTATTAAAAAGGGGGCAGAGTTATTAGCACCCGCAGAGTTGTTTGTTACAGAAATTAATTTTTTTCCATTTGTTTTCAGCACGCAAACTGGACCGTTTGAACAGGGATCCCGCTGTCAAGAATGCTATAATGCTTGCCAAGAATTTCCTACACGGTCAAAACAGAATCCCTGAAAATGTATGCCTGTAGTCACTAAGGTGTCTTAAAATGGTTTGCTATCACCATCATTGCCACCAACCCTTTTACATTAATTACTGATGTGACTTAAGGTGACCATTTTTTCTTCATATATATAAATTTACCATGGCAACATGTATGTCATACAACATCTTTCAGTATTGAATTTTTTAAAGAACCTCGCAGAAAGATTTATCTTGCTTGTTAGGTTCATTCCAAGTTCAACTACAAGCGAACGAGAATCTCCGCAACTTGTTAGATTGGGAATTAGGATTTTGCACCATATTGGCGATTAAGTTATTCTCATCCTCAGAGTTACATCATAGAAGCTACGGATTTAAGTTTGTTAGAAGTATTTCATCGAACTTAGCTAAGTACGTATAAAATTAAGGTATCGTGAGTAATTGCTCAACTGCTGTTTGTTATTGCATATCAAGGAGTCACGCTTTTGTAGAAGTAAAATATATGTGGACTGATTGTGTGATTTGATGAGAAATTTAAACATTAAAAGGGTGGCATGATTGAGGCTGTGTTTCTGATTTTCTCATTAGAGTTCCCTGTGGTACATGTATGCCTGCTTAGCTACTGTTCTACCTTCGGATCAAAAAACTTAGCAGATATTTCACTTTCCTCTATGCAAAGCGGGTCGAAAGCAAAGAGTGGTTAGGGCATTGAACTGAATGAGTTGGTTCTGACGGAGTAATTTGATAAGTTCA